GTGGGGTCTTTGAAAGGAAGTGGAGGGTGAGCAAAGGGAGGGGGTGGGGCCAGGCAACGGCAGTGGGCCTGACCCTTCAAGGAAGTGGAAGGTGAGCAAAGGGAGAGTGGAGCCTAGCACGGGGAAGTGGGCGGGGCCTAGCAAGGGAAGTGGGAGGTGAAGGTGAACTAAGAGAGGGGGTGGGCCCTGCCAAGGGAAATGGGTGGGGCCTGGTAAGGGCAGTAGGTGTGACCTTTCAAAGGAAGTGGGAGGTGAGCAAAGGTAGGAGGTGAGGCCTGGCCAGGGAAGTGGGTGGGGCTTTTCAAAGGAAGTGGGAGGTGAGCAAAGGGAGGGGCAGGGCCTTGTAAGGGCAGTGGGTGTGGCCTTTCAAAGGAAGTGGGAGGTGAGAAAAGGGAGGGGGCTGGGCCTGGCCAGAGAAGTGGGTGGGGCCTTTCAAAGGAAGTGGGAGGTGAGAAAAGGGAGGGGGGGCGGGGCCTGGCCAGGGAAGTGGGTGGGTCCTTGCACAGGCAGTGGGTGTGGCCTTTCACAGGAAGTGGGAGGTGAGCAAAAGAGGGTGGGGCCTTTGGGACGCATTCTTTTCTGGCTTGAAGGGGCTGAATAATGGCAAAGTGTCTGTTCTGGTTATTTATTGCTGGGTAACAAATCACCTCCAAAATTGGCTGAAAACGATGATAATTTTGTTTCTAAGTTTTTTTAGAACATTAAAGTAATTGAAAAATATACTGGAAAAATGAAAATTAGATGTGCTAAAACTCACATTATTTTAAGTTTAAATATTTTCCTTTCACCCAAGTCAGAATTTATTATAACTTTACTTTCCTGGCTCTAATAACTACAACGTCATCAGTAATATTTTTATTGAAACCATTGACTATTTTGAATTATGTATGTAGAAATGCACATTTTTTTCTTTTGCTGCAGGCTGTCCTATGACTTGGACTCAACAGCTCTATTGCAGCCTATCTTTATTTAAAATGATGATAATTTATTCATCATGAATTTTTTTGCTTTGATAGTGACTTTAAAAATATTGCATTAGGCCAGGCTCAGTGGCTCAGCCTGTAATCCCAGCAATTTGGGAGGCCGAGGCGAGTGAATTGCCTGAGCCTGCGGGTTCATGTCCCGCCTCGGCAACTTGGCAAGACATCATCTCTACAATAAATCAAAAATTAGCCGGGTGTGGTAGCGCGTGCCTGTAGTTCCAGCTGCTTGGAAGGCTGAGGCGGAAGGATCACTGGAGCCCAGCAGGTCGAGGCTGCGGTGGCCGGGAGCTGCCACTGCACTCCAGTCTGGGCGACAGAGTGAGACTCCAACTCAAAAAAAATAAAAATAAAAATATTCATTAAAATATTCTTTATCTTGAGCTCATGCCTATAATCTCAGCGCTTTAGGAGGCTGAGGTGAGAAGACTGCTTGAGCCCAGGGGTTCGAGACTCGACTGAGTAACAAATTTGAGGCCAGCCTGGGCAACACAGCGAGACCCTATCTCTACAAAAAAATTAAAAAATTAGCCAGGCATGGAAGCACACACCTATAGTCCCAGCTACTTAGGAGGCTGAGGTGGAAGGATTGCCTGAGTCTGGGAGATCGAGGCTGCAGTGAGCCGTGATCGTGCCACTGCAGCCTGAGTGACAGTGTGAGACTCTAACTTAAAAACAACATTCACTGAGGTGGAATGATCGCCAGAGCCCAGCAGGCGAGGCTGCGGTGGCCGGGAGCGGGCGCTGCACTCCAGTCTGGGCGACAGAGTGAGACTCCAACTCAAAAACAAAAAACAAACAAACAAAAAAAACAACATTCAAACAAACAAAAAAAACTCTTCTTTGGCTTAAAGGGGTCTGTGTTGCTTGCAACCAAACATCTGACTCTAAAATACCTTGCAGCAAGATATATTTTCCAAAAATGACTGTAATGACATTTACAGTGTCACACACTCTTCAGGGATGCTGCCTCTCCTTCAGTAAGAAGTGGAGTCTGTTCCCCCCCCAATCCCTGGCAGAGCTTTGGTTTGGCTTTGATGGGCAGAGAATGGCAGAAGTGATGTCATGTGGCTTCCAAGAGTAGGTCATGAAAAGCAAGATAGCTTCCGACTGCTGTATTCTCTCTCTCTCTCTCTCTCTCTCTCTCTCTCTCTCTCCATTCTCTATTAAGATATGAGCCACCAAGTAAGTCCAGGGATCCTTAAGTCACCATGCCAGAAAGGTCATATGGAGAAAACACCCAGAGATGGAGAAAGATACTGAAGGAACCCCCATTGCCAGACTAGGACTAGGGTGAAGACTTTGCTTACATCACAATTTAAGGGGGGAGGGACAAAATACACTTGGTAATCAAGATTTTTTTTTTGAGCCAGTGTCTCACTATGTTGCCCAGGTTGGATTGCAGTGGTACGATCACGGCTCACTGTAGGCTTGACCTACTGGGCTCAGGCAATCCTTCCGCCTCAGCCTCCCAGTAGCTGGGATGCCAGGTGCATGCCCTCACACCCAGCTAATTTTTTAAAACTTTTTGTAGAGACAGGGTCTTGCTATGTTGCCCAGGCTGATCTCAAACTCCTGGGCTCAAGCAATCCTCCCTACTCAGCCTCCCAAAGTCCTGGTATTACAGGTGTGAGCCACCACACCTGGCTGTTTGTTCAATTTTTTTTAAGGATACATGTAGTTATCTTACAGAAGCTTGAGCAAGAAGTTTGTGAGGGACCACACCAAGTTCTTTTTAATTTCCATGACATTAGAGTCTCAAGCCCATTATTCTAATAAGAAGTCTTGAGAAGCCATAGAGTTTGTTCATTTTGTCTTCCTTGCAAGTAGAGAAAACAAGGTGTCAGTAATCTTTTCTGGCCAACCCAAACACCTGAGCTTTCATGCCTTTCAGAAAAACAGCAGTGCCCATTTGAATGTTCATAGTAGGACCACGATGAATATATTTAAGCATTTAAACCTTGGATAACTTAAAAGATGCATTTAAGCTGGGCATGGTGGGCACACCTGTAGACCCAGCTATTGGAGAGGTTGAAGTGAGAGGTTCACTCGAGAGCAGGAGTTCCAGGCTGCAGTGAGTTATGATCATACCACTGCATTCCAGTCTGTGCAACATAGTGAGACCCCATTTCTTAAAGAACAAGTAAAAAAAAAAATAGATTTTTAGGGGGTTAGAAATAGCACTTATAGCAGAGTTTCTCAGACTCATTGCTGCTGACATTTGGGGCACATTATTCTTTACTGTTAGGGGCCGTCACGGGCACTGGAAGAAGTTGAGCAATGTGCATGGCCTCCACCGGCTACATGCCACGAGCACCCCTTCCAACCCCTGCTGAAAAAAACAAAAATGTCTTCTGACATTGCCTGATGTTCCCTGGGGTGGAGAAATCACTCCTGATTAAGGACACTGATTTATAGGGGACAGTGACATAGAATAGTATCTACTTTTCTGCAAGACAGTGTAGAACCTACAATTTTATTTTATTTACTTTTTGAGTCAGAGACTCACTCTGTTGCCCAGGCTGGAGGGCAGTGGCACGCTCACCGCCACTGCAGCTTTGACCTGCTGGGCTCAGGCGATCTTCCTGCCTCAGCCTTCCAAGTAGCTGGGACTACAGGCGTGCGCCTCCACACCTGGCTAGAACCTCCAATTTTAAGATTCAGCTCAAGTCCCACATTTATTAGAACTGGGAGAAAAAGAAAGACCGAGAAACTCAAAAATGATATTTTTGGGGAAAAAATGACAGAATAAGACAATTCACTGGGTAGAGTGTGATGCCTGGTGACCATATAGCCATCAGACTTGAGAACAACCCCAGATTTCCAAGAGAGAGCTTAAGATTGGACCACCTTGGGTGTGGTGATTTCCCTAATTCAGTCATTTGTGGGTGTTGAAGGTGGGTTTTGTTTTTTGGGTTGGACTCTCACTCTGTTGTCCAGGCTGGAGTCGGTGGCACGCTCATGGCCACAGCAGCCTCAACCAGCTGGGTTTAGGCGATCCTTCTGCCTCAATCTTCCAAGTAGCTGGAACCACAGGTGTGTGCCACCATGCCTGGCTAATTTTTTAAAATTTTTTTAGCGACGAGGTCTTACAAAGTTGCCCGGGTTGGGCTCGAACCCCTGGGCTCAGGCAGTCCTCTCGCCTCGACCTCCCAAAGTGCGGGGATTACAAGTATGAGCCACCACGCCTGGCCGAAGGTGGGGTTTTCTACAAGCTTTTAGGGGGCACCTTTTTTGGGGAGATCTTGAGGCATCTCTCAGAGAAAGGACAGGAATCCCTAATGGCTTTGTGCCATTCTTCTTCTCATCTTCACCCTTCCTGCTCAGATGGGCCCAACATCACCCCGGGCAGGCACACTGCCATTTCTGGAGGACTTTGAGGACCCTCCAGCTTGAAGTGAACACATCACTTTCATCCAGTGCCTTGTCGGGGGTTCAGTGGTAGAATTTCTGCAGGTTCCATGTGATCCTCAGTCCATCAAACCCAACAGTGCACCTTGAGGTTTCCAAGTTCTATTCACAGCACAGGCTCTGGGGTCTGGCTGTCTTGGTTTTTAATGTTAGTTCCTCTGTTGATTTGCTGTGTGGCCTCGGGCAAGTAACCTACCAGCCCCAACCTTAGTTTCCTTATCTACCATAGGGAGATCATGTATCTAGATCAGTAAGGATGCTCGGATGCAAGTAACAATGGCTTGTGCAACAAAGAATCATGTATCTAGATCAGTAAGGATGCTCTTGGATGCAAGTAACAATGGCTTGTGCAACAAAGAATCATGTATCTAGATCAGTAAGGATGCTCTTGGATGCAAGTAACAATGGCTTGTGCAACAAAGAATCAGATTAGGATGTGGATTTCAGTCACGGCTGGAACCAGGGGCTCAAAGACCGTACCCTAGACTCTATTTTGCTCTCTCGATTTCTTGGGTCTGCTGTGCCCTTGCTTCCCTACATATCCTGGGACAGATCAAAACCTCCTAAGCGTTCAGATTATAGGAAGGGGTGAAAAGAAAACACAAACAAAAAACCTCCTGAGGCTGCATCTTGACTCATTCACGTCCACAGTCTGTGTCGAAGAATTGTCTCCATCTTCACTGTGATTGAACCACTTGAAGTCACATGTCCACACCTGATCCAATCACTGATTTCCAAGTTGTTGGAACACTCTGGCTTTAACCAATCAGGGTTGACCTCTGGATCTCTGGGTGGATCCAGCCCCATCCAACTTGTTAGTAAGACGTTAGGGGTGGGGAATGGAATTTGGAAGGCAGTGAACAAAAATTTTATCTAACTTTATAGAGCACTTACCCCAGGCCCTACTATTCTGAGCATTTATATTAAGTCCATTACCATTTAGAATAACCCAAGAAGTTGGGTCCTGATATCATTTCCATTTTTAACCATGAGGAAACTTGTCTGGGTGAGGTGGTTCACACCTGCAATCCAGGAGGCCAAGGTGGGAGGACTGCTTGAGCCCAGGAGTTCGAGACCAGCCTGGGCAACATAGGAAGACCTCAACTCTACACAAATAAAAAATTTAAAAAATATTAGACGGACCTGGTGGCGTGTGCCTGTAGTCCCAGCTACTCGGGAGACTGAGGAGAAAGGATTGCCTGAGTCCAGGAGGTCAAGGCTGCGGTGAGCTGTCATCGCACCACTGCACTCCAGCCTGGGTGAGACCCCAACTCTCAAACACAAGCCAATGGGGAAACTGAGGCACAGGGAGCTTAAGTGGTCCATCTAAGGTGACACTGTGAAGTGGGCTTTTGGTGGGGTTATGCTTTGGGAAAAACTGACAGGACAAGGTCTGGCTGGGGAAGGGGATTCCTGGTTGTCTCTTCATCCTTGGCTTGTCTGTTCTGTCCCCAGTGGGATGATTTCATGGACCTGGGCAACAGCATCCCCGACACCCAGCTGGATCAGATCATCGAAAGCCAGAAGGCTAATCAGTGCGCTGTGCTTGTCTACACTTCCGGGACCACCAACTACCCCAAGGGAGTCATGCTCAGCCATGACAACGTAAGCAAAAGCCCCTAGTTCCGGAGTGGTGGTCTTCAGGCTGTCTCTTGTCCTGGCTTCCAGAGTCATGGTGGTGTTTAGGGGTCCAGCACTCAGTGGCTCCCTCACCTTTGGGGGCCAGAGAGTTGTATTATTGCTTCAAAGCCAGGGGCGGGGCAGGAGCAGAGGACAGGGGTTGAAATCAAGGTCTCTGGAGCGGACTAGATTCCAAAGCTTGGCTCTGTGATCTTGGGTGAGACAGCTAACCTCTCCAAACCTCCGTTTCCTCATCTGTCAAATGGGAGTGATAGGACAGTCTCTACTTCGTGGGTTGTTTTGAAGCCGAAATGAGTTAATATCTGTAGGCCAAGCGTGGTGGTTTCCACTCAGCACTTTGGGAGGCCGAGGTGGGAGGATTGCTTGAGACCAGAAGTTCGAGAACTTCCTGGGCAACAAGGCAAGACCTCTATCTCTACACAAAATTTTAAAATAATAGCCAGGCATGGTGGCACATGCCTGTTGTCCCAGCTACTCTGGAGGCTGAGACAGGAGGATCACTTGAGCCTGGGAGTTTGAGACTCCAGTGAGCTATGATGACACCACTGCACTCCAGCCTGGACCACAGAGTGAGACCCTGTCTCTAAAAAAATAAAAGAAAATAGCTTTCCAGCAAGGATGAGGCATCCTGGGTCACCTCTTGTGTTCTAGATCACATGGATGGCCGGGGCAGTGGCAAGGGACATTGAACTGAAGGAAAAGCAGGAGGTGGTCGTCAGCTATCTGCCCCTTAGCCACATTGCAGCGCAGCTGATGGACATCTGGTTACCCATCAAGGTTGGGGCGCTCACATACTTTGCTCAGCCAGACTCTCTCAGGGTAAGAATGAAGGCGGCCTTGGGATCCCACTGCTTTCTCTAGGACAGGCTAGGTGAGGAAATGGTTGTTCATTCATTCAATAAACATTTTGCGAAGGCCTGGGTCTAAGAATTTTTTTCTCTACCTTCCTCTTACCCTCCCTTTAGTGGCATCAAAAACAGCTGACCAAAGAAAATAATTTTTAACATAGCTGGTCACATTCTTTTAGTTTTTATCTTTATTCAAGTCGAGGTATCCGTGTATGGTGGTATAGGTTGACTACCGAACAACCCAAGACAAAGACACAAATGGTACTGAAAGTGAGGTGTGTATGTGTGTATTTTGTTTTTTAAGTCAGTAGTCCTTCTTCCCAAAACACCGCACTCCAGCCTGGGCCACAGAGTGAGACTCCAACTCAAAAATTAAAAAAAATAAAAAAATAAAAAGGACATTCTTAACCCCATCTGCAGATCCCTCTTTGGCATGAAAGATGACAGTCACAGACTCCAGGGGTCAGGTTGTAGACATATTTGGGGGGGCTATCATTCTGCCTCCCACATGCTCCATCAAGCAGACTAAATCGTAAGGCCTTTGTACTCCCTTCTAGAAATTTCTTTTTCATGTTCTTTGCATGGCTGACTCCTTGCCACGTAGTTCTCGGCTAAATGATTTCCTTGGCTGCTCTCAGTCACTTAAATTCCTCACGCTCAGTGCTTAAAATGTAGCAGGCTCCCAATAAGTACTTTCCCAATAAGTACTTTCAGGTCCTATGGGACCTGAAAAGTTTTTATTTTCCCACATCCTTATCAACGCTTAAGATTGTGAAAATTAAGAACATGTCACCTGGTCCGGGCTCGGTGGCTCAGCCTGTCATCCCAGCACTTTGGGAGGGCAAGGCGAGTGGATTGCCTGTGCCCGCAGGTTTGAGGCTGGCCTGGACAACTTGGTGAGACCTTGTCTCTACTATAAATTAAAAAAAAAAAAAAAATTAGCCGGGCATGGCAGCACACGCTGTAGTTCCAGCTACTTGGAAGGCTGAGGCGGAAGGATTGCCTGAGCCCAGCAGGTTAAGGCTGCGGTGGCCATGAGTATGCCACTGCACTCCAGCCTGGGTGATGGAGTGAGATTCCATCTCAAAAAAAAAAAAAAAAAAAAGAACCTGTCATCTGAACAGTGAGTGAAAAGGGTTTTGTAACATTTTAAGAAATTGCTAGACTATTTTACAAAGTGACTGCACCCTTATATGTTTCTACCAGAAGTGAATGAAGGTTCTAGTTTCTCCACATCCTCACCAGCACTTTTATTATCTGTTTTTAATAATAATGATTATAGCCGTTCCTAGTGGTGCAAAGTGATATCTCTTCATTCTAACTTGCAATACCCTAATGATTAATGATGGTGAGCATCTTTTATGTTGATTGACCATTTGTATATCTTTATTTTTTGAGTCAGAGTCTCACTATGTCACCCAGGCTGGAATCAGTGGCACGCTCATGGCCACTACAGCCTCAATTTGCTGGGCTCAGGCAATCCTTCCACTTCCGCCTTCCAAGTTGCTGGAACCACAGGCGCACACCACCATGCCCAGCTAATTTTTTCATGTATTGTAGAGACGAGGTCTCGCCAAGGTGTCCAGGCTGGTCTCGAACCCCTGGGCTCAGGCAATCTTCTCACTTCTGTCTCCCAAAGTGCTGGCATTATAGGCGTGAGCCACCATGCCTGGCTTGTATATCTTCTTTGGGGAAACATCTGTTCAGATGTTTTATCCATTTAAAAAATGTGGCTCCGAGCTGGGCGTGGTGGCTTATGCCTCTAATCCCAGCACTTGGGGAGGCCGAGTTGGAGGGATGACTTGAACCTAGGAATTCAAGACCAGCCTGGGCAACATAGTGAGACCTCATCTCTATTTAAATGAATGAATGAATGAATAAACAAAAACGTGGTTCTTCCTTCTGTGCTGGTATCTCTAGTAAAAAAAAAAAAAAATTTTTTTAAACCAAAATTTTGCACTGCATATCTAACTGTTGAGTGTTAAGTGTTTCTTATGTATTCTGATTACAGATCCTTTATCGAACTTATGATTTTGCAAACATATGATCTGCAGAAGCTCAGTTCTGTGGCTTGTGGTTTTGTCTTCTGCATTGTCTCTCGAAGAGTAAAAAGTGTTTAACGTTTATGAAGTCCATTTTATTGATGTTTTACTTTCTACTTTTGGTATCCTATCTAGGAAAGTTTTATCTACTCTAAAGCCACAGAGATTTTCTTCTAGAAATCTTTTCGTTTTAGCTCTTTTATTTAAGGCCAGCATCCATTCTGTGTTAATTTTTGTGCTAAAAAATAAGGCTCTCAGCTAAGCTCTTTTTTTCCTCTTGCGTATGAATAGCTTTTTCATAAACTTCCTGGGCACTTTGGTTGAAAAATCAATTGATCATAAATCTAAGATTTTGTTTCTGGATCTTTTACTCAGTTCCTCTAATCTGTGTGTCTGTCCTCTCGCCAAAACCACAGTGATTTGATGACACTAGCTTTATTGTAGAATGACCAACTTGTCCTGGTTTGCCTGGGACTTCTTCAGGTTTTTTTTTGTTTGTTTGTTTGTATGTTTGAGACAGGGTCTCCATCTGTGGCCCAGGCTGGAGTGCAGTGGTGCGATCACCGCCCACTGCAGCCACCACCTCCTGGGCTCAAGCGAACCTCCTGCTTCAACCTCCCGAGTAGCTGGGACTACAGGTGCACACCACCATGCTTGGTCCATTGTTTGACTTTTTAAAAGAGAGACAGGGTCTCACTATGTTTCCCAGGCTGGTCTCAAACTCCTGATCTCAAGCAATCCTTCTGTCTTGGCCTCCCATCGTGCTGGGATTGACAGGTGTACGCCACCATGCTCGACTGACTCTCCCCGTTTTAAATCTGAATGCTTTAAATTCTGGGCATACCAGGATAGCTAATTACCCCACTTTATAATACATTTTAAAATCATAGAGTAAGTCCTCTGATTTTGTTTTTCTTTCCCCAAATTGCTTTGACTATTCTAGTCTTTGGTATTTCTATATTGTTTATAAGATCAGTTTCTTGATTTGTTTGGAAAAGCCTGCCTGGACTTTGATAAGGAGTGCAATTAAACCTACAGATGAATTTGAGGGACAATCTTGCATTCCTCTTTTTTTTTTAAAGCAGGAGCCGGGCTTGGTGGCTCAGCCTGTAATCCCGCGCCTTGGGAGGCTGAGGTGAGTGGATTGCCTGAGCCCGCGGGTTCGAGACCCACCTGGGCAACTTGGTGAGACCTCATCTCTACAGTAAATCAAAAAATGAGCCGGGCGTGGTAGCGCGCGCCTGTAGTTCCAGCTACTTGGAGGGCTGAGGCGGAAGGATCGACGGAGCCCAGCAGGTCGAGGCTGCGGTGTCCGGGAGCGGCCACTGCACTCCAGTCTGGGCGACAGAGTGAGGCTCCAACTCAAAAAAAAAAAAAAGAATGCAGAATTTATTGAGAGAACAGAAAACCTCCCACAGTGGGAGGGAACCCGAAGGGGTTGCCTTGCATCTTTCTTAACGGTTGAATAATATTCCACTGCATGCTTGGACCACAGTTTTTCTTTAGCCAATTCCCCCGTCTGAACATGTAAACTATTTCCATTCTATTACAAAATCATGCTTCAAAGAAACATCATGAGTTTGTTTCTCTGTGTACCCGAGTCTTTCAGCACAAGTCCTTTATCCACAGATGTGAAGTGGCCAGGTTGCATTTAAAATGTTGATAGGCCAGGCATGGTGGTGCACACTTGTAATCTTAGCACTTTGGGAGGCTGAGGTAGGAGGATCACTTGAACCCAGGAAGTCACGGCTGCTGGTAGGCCGTGATTGTGCCACAGCATTCCAGCCTGGATGACAAAGCAAGATCCCAACTCAAAAAAAAAAAAAAAATGTTGATAGTACCATTATATTACCTTCCAAAAATATTTGACCCAGCAGGCCACAGTGGCTCACACCTGTAAACCTAGCACTTTGGAAGGCTGAGGCGGGAGGATTGCTTAAGGCCAGGAGCTCAAGACCAGCCTGGGCAACATAGTGAGACCCCGTCTCTACCAAAAAAATAAAACACATGAGTGAACGAGCTAAACAAACGAACAAACAAATAAATAATTTGGCCAGTGAATGCTTCTCGCCAAATCCCTGCAAACCATATGATTGGCCACCGGCCAGCCAATGGGTTGTCTCCCTTAAGTCAGGAATCCACCCGGGTCCGATCAGCAAAGGGTCATGGGCAGAGTTGGCTGGATCAGAGGAGACAGGGGTCTGTGGTCAGTGGAAGGTGTCGCTGTGGCTAACCCAGCTGTGTCCCCTGCAGGGCACCTTGTTAATCACTCTGCGGGAGGTGAGGCCCACCGCCTTCATGGGGGTGCCCCAAGTTTGGGAGAAGTTGCATGCGACAATAAAGGAAAATAATACCAAGTGCTCCAACTTGAGGAAGAAGGTGTTTATATGGGCAAGACACGTTGGCTTCAAGATCAGCACAAAAAGGATGTCGGGGTAGGTTGGGGGAGGTCTGGCGAGATGGGAGGGTAGTGGGGGAGGTGGCATGACCTTCCCCAGTGTGTCCCTTCTGCCTCTTTTGACTTGATGACTTTTTTTTTCTTGAGTCAGGGTCTCACTATGTCGTCCAGGCTGGAGTGCAGTGGCACAGTCACAGTTCACCGCAACCTTGACCTCCTGGGCTCAGGCAATCCTCATGCCTCAGCCTCCCGAGTAGCTGGAACTAAAGGCGTGTGTGCCACCACACCCGGCTCATCTGTGTATATTTCGTAGCGATGAGATCTCGCTATGTTGCCCAGCTGGTCTTGAACTCCTGGCCTCAAGTGATCCTTCTGCCTCAGCCTCCCAAAGTGCTGGGATTATAGGCAGATGCCACCACACCTGGCTAATATTTTGATTTCTTCTTGTTGTTGTTATTATTCTTATTATTACTATTATTATGGCAACCAGGTCTTGTTATGCTGTCCAGGCTGGTTCCGAACTTTCTGACCTCAAGCAGTCCTCCCCCGTTGGCCTCCCAAAGCACTGGGATTGTAGGTGTGAGCCACCTCAACTGGCCTTGATGGCTTTTTTGTTCACAGGAAGTATGACACTCCCGTGAACTACAACATAGCTAAGAATCTCGTGTTCAGTAAAATCAAGCACTCCCTGGGCCTGGATCGCTGCCACAATTTCATCAGTGCCGTTGCCCCTCTCTCCCAAGAGACTGCAGAGTTCTTCTTCAGCTTGGACATACCTATAGGCGAAATCTATGGATTGAGTGAGAGCTCGGGACCTCACACGCTATCCAGCCCGACTAACTACAGGTTTCTCAGGTACGAGCCCCAGGCCGACCCCTGGTTCTCCGGCGACACGGGGTCAGGGTGGCGAAGACAGGTAGGCCTCTGGGCTCGCAGGAAACCTGACTTGGTGTCTCCGGAATGACCCTCACTCCCCAGCTGAGAAGCCCTGATTTGTCAGAGAGCCCCCAGGCAAGAGGAAGGGCTTCCAGAACATTCCATTGGCCCCCACCCCTTTGTCACTTGCCTCTAAGTTCACCTCCTGTGACCTCGGGACCCTTCATCTCCATAAGCCTCCCACTTAAACACCCGCATGGGCCATCCCCGGCTTCCCCCCCAAGTCAGCTCATACCGTGCTGCAGGGTTAAACCCAGCGAGATCAAAACAGTAAGACTATCCAAGCCAAGTCTGACCCTGAGTTTGAGAGCCGTGCTCCCTCACCGAATCTCCTTGGCATGGCTCTCCCTGGCCCTTCCTGCCACCATCTTGCAAATCTGTCTTCCTCTCTCATGCCTGGGACCCTCCAATGGTCCAGGTTCCAGCCATCTTCCCAAAGTACAAACCGAGGAAGCAAAAAATAAATGAAATCTAGCCAGTGCGGTGGCTCGCACCTGTCATCCCAGCACTTTGGGAGGCAGGGGCGAGAGGATTGCCTGAGCCCAAGGGTTTGAGACCAGCCTGGGCAACTTGGCAAGACCCTGTCTCTACAATAAATCAAAAAATTAGCCAGGCATGGTGGTGTGTGCCTGTAGTTCCAGCTACTTGGAAGGCTGAAGCAGAAGGACTGCCTGAGCCCAGCAGGTCGAGGCTGGGCGACAGAGTGAGACTCCAACTCAAAAAAAAGAACAAAATCTTCCTAATTTGGTAAAACCATCTCCTACCTTTTACTGCACCTTGCAGGGAACTTATTCCCCAGTTTCTCCACGTTCCACTCCATAATTGCCTCTGAGTCCGCTTTAGCAGGATCCAAAGTCACACTACAGTTTTTTTTTCAAATCAAAGAGTCGCCCTACCCTGAAAATCAGTGACGCTATCCCACTCCTGGAAAAAAGGGACAAATTCCAGCCATCTTTAATTTTTTTTTTTGAGTCGGAGTCTCACTCTGTCGCCCAGGCTGGAGTGCAGTAGCCTCGACCTGCTGGACTCCGGCGATCCTTCTGCCTCAGCCTCCCGAGTGGCTGGAACCACAGGCGAGCACCACCACGCCCGGCGATTTTTTTCCAGCCATTTTTTCCAGCCATTTTTTCTCCCCCCCAGTGAGTGCCACCAGTGGGATCCCAGTTCACAAAGCGTGTGGGCATCTGACTCACTGGATTAAGCACTTCCACAGACACCTGCTTATGTCCACTGGGCCCTGGGGGAGATGGGCAGAGCCTGTCAGCCTGCACCAGCTGAGCAGATCCAGGCTGACCCGAGGAGAGTGACTATCTTTCTGAGCCTCAGTTTCCCCACTGTTGTGCCCCAGCAGCTGCGGCAAGGTCTTGACGGGGTGTAAGAACATGCTGTCCCAGCCGAATAAGGATGGCATCGGTGAGGTCTGTATCTGGGGCAGACACATCTTCATGGGCTACCTGGAGAATGAATCTGAAACTATGGAGGCCATTGACAAGGAAGGCTGGCTACACTCCGGGGACCTGGGTCAGCTGGACAGCCAGGGTTTCCTCTACATCACCGGCCGCATCAAAGGTACCAAGGGAGGAGGGGGGACAGGTCTGGCGGCTCTCACCTGTAATCCCAGCACTTTGGGAGGCCGAAGTGGGAGGATCACTCGAGCCTAGGAGTTCCACGCCAGTCTGAGCAACGTAGTAAAACCTTGTCTCTACAAGAAAAATTAGCTGGGTGTGGTGGCAGACACCTGTAGTCCCAGCTACTTGGGAGGCTGAGGCAGGAGGATCACCTGAGCCCAGGAGATCGAGGTTGCAGTGAATCTTGACTGTGCCAATGGACTGCAGCCTGCGTGACAGAGTAAAACCCCGAGTCAAAAAAAAAAAAAAGATACCAAGGATGGGGGTCGGGGGTGGCCTGGGCTCTGCAGGGGTCTCCTACAAGCAGGCCCACCCTGAACGTTTAAGGGCCTCCCAGCTCCCCACCTTCCACAAAGGACTGGGCAGGGACACCCCAGTCTGTACAACCCAGAACCATTCAACAGAGCTGGTCGACAGACCTGAGAAAGACAAGCTCTGCAACCTTCATTTCTTCCCGTCATTTGAGGATGATAATAATTCATCTATCGAGTGATAAGGGTTAAGGGAGGATCACAGGCAGTAAGGCAAAACAGGGATCAGCCAACGTGTCCCGTGGAGGATCCTATAGCAAACATTTCTGGGTTTGCAAAACACACATGTCCATCACAGCTATGCATGTCTGCAATTTGTAGCACAAAAGTAGCTGCGAACAAGTAAGTTATGGGCGTGGCCACATGCCCGTACGAATTTCATGTAATTTGCATGTGTCACAAATATTCTTTGACTGATTTCCTTCCAGCCACTTAAAAACACAAAATCTGTTTTTAGCTTTTGGTCATACAAAACCGGGTGGCGGGTTGGATTTGGCCCATGGGCCGTAGTTTTCTAATCCCTGATAGAGAACACTTGACACTTTGGGACTCAAAGCCATTTAAGATGGATTTCAGTGGATTTGAGTTTTTTTAAAAAGCAAACGGTTGGCTCAACATAACTGAAAAGTTCATAGGGTCTGCTTCGGTCATGGCTGGATCCAGGTGCAAAAAAATGATATCACAGGGAGCTTCTTTATCCTTCTCCGATTGAGTTTTCTCCTGTGCTTCTTAAAGGGGCTATTCCCGTTTGCAGCAAGAAGGCTTCAGGGTTGGGTGTGGTGGTTCATGCCTGAAGTCCCCGCACTTTGGGAGGTGGAGGCGGGAGGATTGTTTGAGGCTGGGAGTGTGAGACCAGCTCTGTCTCTTAAGGAAAAAAAAAAAAAAGTAGAGAGTAGTTCCCCAAAGAAACATCCGGGTGTCTTACTCCACGACGAAGTTACACCATTGTTGAGAGCCGTGGACAGCAACATTTTCAGCCTGGCACGAAGTTTATCGGCCCTTGTCTTGGCAGAGCTGAGAGGGTAGGACTCCTTCTTGGAATTTTTTGAAACAACAAAAACTCAGAGTGCAACCGTCACAGTAAGAAAATCAACCAAGAGTATTATTTTTGGTATCTGGAATTGAATTTACCAGTGATGCAAGCACAGCAACCTCTGTAAAGACTTTGCCTTGGCAAACTCTCTAGAGTTCAGACTTCGTAGCATCAAGGACACAACGCAAGCGGGAGTTTTGGAGGTCAAACATGGGGAAAAAAGATGCTTCTATTGTAAAACTTCCTGTTGATCAGTACAGAAAGCAAATTGGTAAATAGGATTATAAAAAAACCAAACCTATTTTATGAGCAACCAAATTCAAAGCAAAGAAAACAGCGATAGGCATAGAGGAAGTTGGCCTTGTACTTGCAGCTATGTTGGCGCTGCTACTGGCTTTCTATGCTTTTTTTTTTTTTTTTTTTTTAAATCTCGGACTCACCACGGATGTTAGCCCTGATCTTGACCCAGATGAAGATTAGCTAAGTAGCAATCCATGCATGAAAGGGAAATAATTTTATAAAAGCACCTTTTGGGACCAATATTTTCAGTAATGAAAGCGCAACATATTGAATTCTTTCTGTTGGTGTTTTCAGTTTGCATAAATATCTTTTTAAATAGTTACATGGGATATCAAGGAAAGAACCTTACCTAGAAATGCAGTATAATACATGCTACCGGATACTTTAAAAAAAATCTTTCTGAGCCGGGCTCGGTGGCTCAGCCTGTCATCCCGTGCCTTGGGAGGCCGAGGTGAGTGAATTGCCCGAGCCCATGGGTTCAAGACCAGCCTGGGCAACTTGGTGAGACCTTGTCTTTACAATAAATAAAAAATTAACCAGGCGTGGTGGTGTGTGCTTGTAGTTCCAGCTACTTGGAAGACTGAAGCAGAAGGATTGCTGGAGTCCAGCAGATCGAGGCTGTGGTGGCCATGAGCATACCACTGCACTCCAGTCTGGGTGACAGAGTGAGACTCCAACTCAAAAAAAAAAAAAAAAAATTCTTTCTCCTTTGAAAGACACCCTGTGCAGGGTGCATTTAGATAAAATGGAAAACAGATCCTAAATTCTTCAAATGTCCTTGCCAATTTATGTATAATGACATTACTTACAGATTACCAAATCTGCTTTTGTCCTGTCTACATCGTAATTAAAAGCATATATCCTCAGGCCGGACTCGGTGGCTCAGCCTGTAATCCCAGCACTTTGGGAGGCCGAGGTGAGTGAATTGCCCGAGCCCATGGGTTCAAGACCAGCCTGGGCAACTTGGTGAGACCTTGTCTTTACAATAAATAAAAAATTAACCAGGCGTGGTGGTGTGTGCTTGTAGTTCCAGCTACTTGGAAGACTGAAGCAGAAGGATTGCTGGAGTCCAGCAGATCGAGGCTGTGGTGGCCATGAGCATACCACTGCACTCCAGTCTGGGTGACAGAGTGAGACTCCAACTCAAAAAAAAAAAAAAAAAATTCTTTCTCCTTTGAAAGACACCCTGTGCAGGGTGCATTTAGATAAAATGGAAAACAGATCCTAAATTCTTCAAATGTCCTTGCCAATTTATGTATAATGACATTACTTACAGATTACCAAATCTGCTTTTGTCCTGTCTACATCGTAATTAAAAGCATATATCCTCAGGCCGGACTCGGTGGCTCAGCCTGTAATCCCAGCACTTTGGGAGGCCGAGGTGAGTGAATTGCCCGAGCCCATGGGTTCAAGACCAGCCTGGGCAACTTGGTGAGACCTTGTCTTTACAATAAATAAAAAATTAACCAGGCGTGGTGGTGTGTGCTTGTAGTTCCAGCTACTTGGAAGACTGAAGCAGAAGGATTGCTGGAGTCCAGCAGATCGAGGCTGTGGTGGCCATGAGCATACCACTGCACTCCAGTCTGGGTGACAGAGTGAGACTCCAACTCAAAAAAAAAAAAAAAAAATTCTTTCTCCTTTGAAAGACACCCTGTGCAGGGTGCATTTAGATAAAATGGAAAACAGATCCTAAATTCTTCAAATGTCCTTGCCAATTTATGTATAATGACATTACTTACAGATTACCAAATCTGCTTTTGTCCTGTCTACATCGTAATTAAAAGCATATATCCTCAGGCCGGACTCGGTGGCTCAGCCTGTAATCCCAGCACTTTGGGAGGCCGAGGTGAGTGGATTGCCTGAGCCCGGGTTCGAGACCTGCCTGGGCAACTTGACAAGACCTCATCTCCACTGTAAATCAAAAATAGCCAGGCGTGGGAGCGCACGCCTGTAATTCTGGCCACTCGGAAGGCTGAGGCGAAAGGATCGCCGGAGCCCAGCAGGTCGAGGCTGCGGTGGCCAGGAGCGGCCACTGCCCTCCAGTCTGGGCAACAGAGTGAGACTCCAACTCAAAAAAAAAATAAAATAAAATAGAGTTCTTTTCCTCTTGGGCTGTCTGAGCTGATGTAAATAGAAAGTTCAGTTGATCTTGATTTTAATTAACTTATTGCTCTATTAATATAAACTTGGAATTCTATTTTAATTATGTTGTTCTGGCTGCTTGTAGTATCAGTTTGCCTCTCTTGTTAGGTAGATATGTAACAATCTGTCATTTAATTGTGAGGCCTTTTTCACTTGACAGTAATAGCAAGAGTCCTATCTATTCAGAAACATTTTCTTGGGTTTGTCTCCTAACTGTGAACCATATAAAATTGTTTTACAAAATTACATTGCACCCCTTAAGAGTTTAGAACTCTTTAGTGAATTTAGAACTCTTTAGTGAAAAATAAATAATAGAAGGGGAAAAAAAGTTACACCCTTGTTACTGCAGTAACAAGCACGGTGAAGGTGACTTTGATAGATCCCAGGACAAGGTGCAGACAGTTTGGGCGGGTGGAACAGAAAGAGGCAGCCATCTCAGGATGAAAGAACAACCTTTAGAATCTCCAGAATCAGAGATTCAACCCATACCCCGGGGTAAGACTGAAATTTGATTCTTTTACAAAAAGAAAAGTTCACTGCAGAGCTCGTTGTAGCTTTGAACTCCTGGGCTCAAGTGATCCTCCTGCCTCAGCCTCCCAAGTAGCTGGGATTACAGGTTGTGCACTGCCATGCCTGGCTTTTTTTTTTTTTTAAGTTGAGATGAGGTCTCACTATTACCCAGATTGAACTTGAACCTCTTGGCTAAAGCGATCCTCCCTCTCGGCCTTCCAAAGTGCTGGTATTACAGGCACTTTGAGCCACTGGTCCAGACCTTGGAGTTCGATTCTGTTGAGGTTGCAAAGGGATGAAGAAGAAAAAGACAATGAATTATTTTAATTTTATTTTATTTTATTGACTGGAGTCTCACTCTGTCGCCCAGACTGGAGTGCAGTGACACTCTCCCAGCCACCGCAGCCTCGACCTGCTGGGCTCCAGCGATCCTTCCGCCTCAGCCTTCCGAGTAGCTGGAACTACAAATCACGTGTCACCACGCCCGGATAATTTTTGATTTATTGTAGAGATGAGGTCTTGCCAAGTTGCCCAGGCTGGTCTCGAACCCAGGCTGGTCTTGAACTCCTGGACTCCAATGATCCTCTCACCTTGGCCTCCCAGAGTGCTGGGATCACAGGCGTGAGCCACCACGCCCGGCCAGGCAATGAATCATTAAGATGCAGTGGCTCATGCCTGCAGTCCCAGCACTTTGGGAGGCTGAGGTGGGAAGATCGCTTGAGGCCAGGAGTTGGAGACCAGACTGGGCAACATAGGGAGACCCCATCTCTTAAAAAACCAAAGCAGATGTGGGAAGAGGAGCAGATCCTCCTGTGTTTCTGGGGCTTTCTAGGTGGGTGTTGGCGACGCCAGTGTCGGCCCTTCTGAACCTCGAGGGGTGGGGAGATTCATATCGTCATGACTGGACAGGTACCAAGCCAAGCTCTGTTCCAGAAATCCTCATCACTGCCAGTGGCGAGAAGGTGTCCCCCATTTCCATCGAGAACTTGGTGAAGAGGAAGATCCCCATTGTCAGTAATGCCCTGTTGGTGGGAGATAAGATGCATTTCCTGAGCATCTTGCTGACGTTGAAGGTAACGCTGTTTGGGGAGACCGTGGCCTGACCTCACCCCAGGTACAAGGCCCACTTCTTGGGCTGGGCGTGGTGGCCCGCACCTGTCATCCCAGCACTCTGGGAGGCCAAGGCAGGAAGATGGCTTGAGCCCTGGAGTTGGAGACAAGCCTGGGCAACATGGCGAGACCTCATCTCTACAAAAATAAAATTAAAAAAACGGAGCTGGGTGTGGTGGCATGCACCTGGAGTTCTAGCTTCTTGGGAGGCTGAGGCGGAAGGATCGCCTGAGCCCAGGAGGTTGAGGCTGCAGTGAGCTGTGAGCATGCCACTGTACTCCAGCCTGGGCTACAGAGTGAGACCCTGACTCAAAAAAAAAAAAAAAAAAAGCCTGCTGCATGGTTTTCAGGAGGTGGGGGTGCTGGCCGGGGGAGCATGTGTGGTGGTGACAGGGGTGTCCTGGGGCAGTGTGAGATGGACCCGATGAGTGGAGAACCTTTGGACCAGCTGACCTTGGAGGCCATCAACTACTGCCGGAGCCTGGGCAGCCACGCATCCACTGTGACCGAGATCGTGAAGCTGAAAGATCCCCTGGTCTACAAGGCCATCCAGGAGGGCATCAACAGCGTGAACCAGGAGGCCATTTCCAACGTGCGGATTCAGAAGTGGGTCATTCTGGAGAAGGACTTTTCCATTTCTGGCGGAGAGCTGGGTGAGTGGCCTTGTCACTGGAAGGCTGAGCCCTTGTTAGCATCTGGGGCCACGTGGGCTGAGGAGATGTGCTCTTTTATGGGTCTATGAGGCCAGCCAGGGGCCAGGACAGGGATGCCACCACCTCCAGCTAGTTGGATCCCAGCTCTCCCTGACCTCTCTCTCAATCTGTCTCTCTCTCTCTCTCTCTCTCTCTCTCTCTCTCTCACACACACACACACACACGTGTCTCTTTGCTCCAGGGCTTACACATCCCTCATTCTGGGAATAAAATCCAAACTCCTGGCAGGACACAGTGCCTCACACCTATAATCCCAGCACTTTGGGAGGCTGAGGTGGAGGATCTCTTGAGCCCAGGAGTTTGAGACCAGCCAGGGCAACAAAGAAAGACCTTGTGTCTACAAAAAATTCAAAAATTAGTCAGGTGTGGTGGAACATGCCTGTAGTCCCAGCTCTGGGGAGGCCAAGGCAGGAGGATTACCTGAGGCCAGGAGTTCAAAACCAACCTGGGCAACATAGTGAGACTCTATGAAAAATTAAAAAAAAAAAAAATAGTTTACTCTAGCTCTGTAGGATCTCTCTCTTGCTGACTTCTTTTGTTCTCTCTGCCCCAACTGTGCGGGCTTTCTTGCTGTGCCCGCAATCTCTGGACTTGGTCCAACCACAGGGCCTTTGCACCTACTGGTCCCTCTAACTGCAATGCTCTTCCCTCTTAATTCTTTGCCCAGATGGCTCCTTCTCATTGTCCAGGTTTTACCCTACAGGCCACTTCCTCAGAGCAGCCTTGTAACAGGACCACTGGGTTCCTGCCCACTGTGCAGGAAGGAACAGACCAACACACTGGGACGGCAGGGTTTGTAACAGAGAAAGAATGTATTGATTTCATGGCAGTCGAGAGAGGAGATGGGAGGAAACTTCACGTTCATCTCCCCAAGGAGTTCTGGGCTGAGCATTTTCAGAGGACCATGGAGGGCAAAGGGCTAGACAATTGAGGTCATTGGTTGGTCAGGGCATGGGGTGGCGTCATCAGCATGTGGACAACGCATGCTTTGGTCAATTGCCTCCTCGTGGGTCCCTTCAGACCAGCTGATATCAGTAGTTTCACTGCTAAGCAGGACCTGAGAGAACAGCTCAGAGGGAAAACATCACGTTTTCTCATGTTCAAGCTGTTATCTCTGGAGCAGTTAGGGGAACTGTATCTTGTGACAGGGTCTCCATGATTCTGGGGCAACCCCAACCCTCACCCTAAACAGCCACGAGGAAGTGACTCAGAGAGCAGGCTGACCTCATCATTCATGCTGAATGCACTGCAGGTTTGGTTTATTTTCATTTTTCTCCTTCCTTTTCTCCTAATTTTTTTTTTTTTTTTTTGAGTCAGGGTCTCACTCTGTCACCCAGGCTGGAGTGCAGTGGCATGATCACAGCTCACCGTAGTCTTGACCTCCTGGGCTCAGGTGATCCTCCCACCTCAGCCTCCCGAGAAGCTAGAACTATAGGCACATGCCACCACCCCTGACTAATTTTTTAAAATTTTGTGTGTAGAGATGAGGTCTCATTATGTTGCCCAGACAGGTCTCGAACTCCTGGCTTCAAGAGATCTTCCCACCTTGGCCTCCTACCATGCTGAGATTACAGGCGTGAGCCACCATGCCCGGCCTACCTTTTGATTAATTTTATAAAGTGTCTAGGGATGGTTTCAGCCTTCCCTGACCATGCTGGCTAAAGCAGCTGGCCATCTCCCTTGGCAGATCATCCTGTAGCCTGTGGGCACCCCTATTATACCTGCCTGTCTTCTTGTCTCCATAATGCAACAGAATCTGGAACTATCTTCTTTTTTTTTTGAGTTGGAGTCTCACTCTGTCGCCCAGACTGGAGTGCGGTGGCTGCTCCCAGCCACTGCAGCCTCGACCTGCTGGGTTCCAGCGATCCCTCCGCCTCAGCCTTCCAAGCAGCTGGAACTACAGGCACGTGCTACCATGCCCAGCTAGTTTTTGATTTATTGTAGAGATGAGGTCTCACCAAGTAGCCCAGGCGGGTCTCAAACCCGAGGGCTCAGGCAATCCACTCACCTCAGCCTCCCAAGGCACGGGATTACAGGCTGAACCACCGAGCCTGGCAGGAACTATCTTCTTTATGAGCTTCCCCAGTGAGGGAACGGCTCACTCCAGGGTGGGGGTCCTGGGATTCTATCATCGTCCTCTCTTGGGGGCTTGCTCCCAGCACTTGGCTGTAATCTGACAGTGTGGATGGAAGGGAGTTAGAACAGAAGCAAGCCTGTGGCACTGAACAACCTATGTTCAAATCCTGTCCCCTCCCCACAAGGAATTGACTTGTCCCTCCAAGCCTTGGTCTCTCTAAGTTGAAAACACAGGCCAGGTGTGGTGGCTTATGCCTGTAATCCCAGCACTTTGGGAGACCGAGGTGGGGGGATTGCTTGAGGCCAGGAGTTTGAGACCAGCCTGGGCCACATAGCAAGACCTCATCTCTACAAAAATTTTAAAAAATTAGCTGGGCGTGGTTGTGTGCACCTGTAGTCCCAGCTGCTTGGGAAGCTGAGACAGGATGCTATCACTTGAACCTAGGAATTCAAGGCGGCAGGGAGCTATGATCACGCCACCACACTCCAGCCTGGGTGAAAAAGCAAGACCCTGTTGAGAGAGAGAAGAAGAAGAGGAAGGAGGAGGAGGAGGAGAAGGAAGGAGGGAGGGAGGGAGGGAGGAAAGAAAGAAAAGAGGAAAGGGGCCAGACTCAGTGTCTCAGCCTGTAATTCCAGCACTTTGGGAGGCCGAGGCGAGAAGATTGCCTAATCCCACTGATCTGAGTCCAGCCCGGGCAACTTGGTGAGACCTCATCTCTACAATAAATCAAAAAATTAGCCAGGTGTGGTAGCGGATGCTTGTAGTTCCAGTTACTTGGAAGGCTGAGGTGGAAGGATCGCCGGAGCCCAGCAGGCTGAGGCTGTGGTGGCCATGAACATGCCACTGCACTTCAGCCTGGGCAACAGAGTGAGATTCCTACTCAAAAGAAAGAAAAAAAAGAGAGAGGGAGGGAGGAAAGAAAGAAAGAAAGAAAGAAAGAAAGAAAGAAAGAAAGAAAGAAAGAAAGAAAGAAAGAAAGGAATTTTCTTTCATCTCTGCTACCCAACCCATTTTTCCTTTCTTGAAAAAAGAAAGGAAAGGGGAAAAAAAGAAAGAAACTAGAAAACACAGTCCTTGTACAGAGTTGTTTGAGACACCTTGAGGGAATTCCAAAGCCCCTGGTGATTCAGAGGCCATGCATATCCTGGGTTGTGCAGCAGATAATTAATTCCCAAGTTGAAGCCTTCATGGACTTGCTGGGTGACCTCAGAGTATCTGGCCCTCTCTGTGCACCAGTCTCCTCTCCTGTAAAATGGGGGTGGTGGTGTTGCAGTGGTGATGGTGTCCCTCCTCCCTTGAGTGCGCAGTTCACATCAGGCACAGATTGCAGCGTGCTCCCCACCTTCCAGCTCACAGAATCCTCACCACAGCCCCGAGGGCGACATGGAGGTTCTGTGATCCCCTGGATACTGATGGCAAAAGTGGCAGGCATGGCCAGCCGCCCAGCCTGGCGCCAGTCATGGGATCCCGTTGACTGGTCATGCACAGGGCGTGTGGAATTTTCTTCCATCTCTGCTATCCAACCCATTTTTCCTTTCTTGATAGGTCCATCATCAAAGATTAAGAGACATTTCATAATCCAGAAATACAGAAAGCAAATTGACAACTTCTACCACTGACTGGTAGAGCTGCTCCTGGCTGCTCTGATGGTAAGCTTCAGTTTGCTGGGCTTTGCTGGGCCATGCCTGGGATGGGTTCAGCAGGGAGCTCCTTCATACTCGCACATGCACACACATTTGCCTGCAGTGAGATTTGGCTTCAACCTGTGCTCACTCTACAGGGTCATGGTAGGGTATGCAAGCTCCTTCACGGTTGGTCACCAATTTTGCTGGCTGTGCTTCTTGCCTTTTCTCCCCTCCCCTCCCCCTTCTCTCTTTCTCTCTTTCTTTCTTTGAGTCAGGGTCTCACTCTGTCACCCAGGCTGGAGTGCAGGCTCACCACAGCCTCAACCTCCCGGGCTCAGATGATCCTCCTGCCTCAGTCTGCCAAGTAGCTGGGACTACAGGCACGTGCCACCACACCTGTCTATTTTAAAAATTATCCATCTATTTATTTATTTTTTTGAGTTGGAGTCTCACTCTGTTGCCCAGACTGGGGTGCAGTGGCATGCTCCCAGCCACCCTGCTGGGCTACAGCGATCCTTCCACCTCAGCCTTCCAAGTAGCCGGAGCTACAGGCACGTGCTACCACACCTAGCTAGTTTTTTATTTATTGTAGAGACGATGTCACACCATGTTGCCCAGATGGGTCTCAAATCTGTGGGCTCAGGCAATCCACTCACCTCGGCCTCCCAAAGTGCTGGGATTGCAGGCTGAGCCACCAAGCCTGGCCAATTTTTAAATTTTTGATAGAAATGAGGTCTTGCTATGTCAGTATGATCATAGCTCACTGCAGCCTCGAACTCCTGGATCCAAGTGATCTTCCCACGTTGGCCTCCTGAGTAGCTGGGACTCCAGACATGTGCCACCACACCCAGCTAGTTTTTTAATTTTGTGTAGAGATGGTGATCTCACTGTGTGGCCCAGACTGATCTCAAAATCCTGGCCACAAGCAAGCCTCCCAAAGTGTTAGGATTACAGGCATGTGCTACTGCACCCAGCCTGAGACACTACACCCAGCCAGCCTTTTCTACTCATCTCTGAGGCAGGGGGCCATCCTCCCATCCAGAACCAGAGTTTTTCATTAAACACCCAAATGTTTCATTGTGGCTTATTTGGAAGAAGGTCTTTTGTCAGGAACTTTGATGGGGGAAGTTCTGCTTGTCAGGAACCCAAAGAATGAGGTATGTTGGCCCGTTACAGAGATGGTAAGAGATGGAGACTTGAACTTCCCAGGGGCACCCACCATCCCCCCCGTCCTTTCCCAGGGAACCTCCATGACTCTATGAATTGCCGATAGGGCTTTGTTTTCTTAATCCCACTAGATGCACAGAGCAGGCAGAGAGTAGAATGCATCTTCACCCGCCTAAGGGCCACCTATTACCTTCTCATGGGTAAATTTCTCTTCTGACGCCCACAGCCAACCCACCTGTAGGAGTTTGCTGGGGCTACCATAACGAATACCACAGACTGCGGGGCTTAAACTCATTGAGAAACTTATTGTCTCAATTCTGGAGGCTGAAATTGTGAGGCCAGTTTAGGTGCAGTGGCTCACAACTGCAATCCCAGTATTTTGGGAGGCTGAGGCAGGAGGATTGCTTGAGGCCAGGAGTTCAAGACCAATCTGGGCAACGTGGTGAGACCTCGTCTCTACAAAAAATTAAAAAATTAGCCAGGCATGGTGGTATGTGCCTGTAGTCCCAGCTACTTGGGAGACTGAGGAAGGAGGATCACCTGGGTCTGGGAGTTTGAGACTGCAGTGAGCTAGATTGCACCACTGCACTCCAGCCTGGGCAACAGAGTGAGACCTTGTATAGTTAAATGTAAAACACACACTGGATGTCAAAGTCTCAGTACAAAAAACAGGATATAAAATATCTCATTAATATTTAAAAGAAATTTTTTTTGAGTTGGAGTCTCACTCTGTCGCCCCGGCTGGAGTGCAGTGGCACTCACGGCCACCCCAGTGTTGACCTGCTGGGCTCCAGCGATCCTTCCACCTCAACCTTCCAAGTATCTGGAACTACAGGCATGTGTCACTGATTTTTTTATTTATTGTAGAGACAACGTCTCACCATGGTACCCAGGCGGGTCTTGAACCTCTGGGCTCAGGTAATCCTCACTCCACCACCTCCCAAAGTGCTGGGATGACAGGTGTGAACCACCATGTCTGGTTCCTTCTTTCTTCCCTCTTTTTTTTTTTGGTTTGAGTTGGAGTCTCACTCTGTAGCCCAGACTGGAGTGCAGTGGCACACTCACGGTCACCCCAGCGTCGACCTGCTGCTGGGCCCTAGCGATCCTTCTGCCTCAGCCTTCTAAGTTGCACAGCTAATTTTTGATTGATTGTAGAGATGAGGTCTTGCCAAGTCCCCCAAGCTGGTCTCAAATCTAGGGGCTCAGGCCATCCACTCACCTCGGCCTCCCAAAGTGCTGGGATAACAGGCTGAGCCACCGAGCCTGGCTAATATTTTAAAATCTTGATTCCATGTCGAGATGATATTTTGGACATACTGGGCTACATAAAATATATTATTAGAACCAGGTGCAGTGGCACATGCCTGTAATCCCAGCACTTTGGGAAGCCGAGGAGGAAGGATCGCTTGAGCCCAGAAGTTTGAGACTAGCCTGGGCAACATAGTGAGACCTTATCTCTATAAAAAAAAAAAATCAAAAAAATTAGCCGGGTGCGGTGGCGCATGCCTGTAGTCCATGCTACTCGGGAGGCTGAGGCAGAGGGATCACTTGAGTCCGGGAGGTCAAGGCTACAGTGAGCTGGGATCATGCCACTGCACACAGTGTGGGCGACAGAGTGAAACCCTGTCTTACACACACACACACACACACACACACACACACACACACACACACTCACACACAACTAAAAATCAATTTTACCATTTCCTTTTTTTCATGTAGCTACTAGAAAATTTTAAATTGCATGGGTGACTCAAGTGCTATTTCTCTCGGATGGCGCTGCTTGATTAAAGTTGATCTTGAAGGGATTTGGGGGCAAAGGCCAATTTATAAATGCATCGGTTCACGTGGGAATATTTTCGCTGCAAGGCGGCTGAGGGAACCCAGAAAACGAACGCATATAGTGCAAGGATTTCCATGTGATAACTCATGTTTCTCCTCCCTCCGGTCCCCAACAGGAAGACGCCATTGCAACAGGTGAATTGCTACTCTGGGTGGGGGTTCGTCCTCCTGTTTTTAGGAAGCCACATTCCCTGTGGGTCAGTTTCTTGACTGTTCTCCTCTTGAGGGACTCCCAGCAGCATCTGCCGTGTCTCTCAGTGCAATGGGATCACCCATGACAGGACTTTCTATCAATCTTCAAGATGTGATCCCAGGGAAGCCTACTGGGAGGTCTACCAAGAACAGCCCGTTTCAGAAGAAGGTTCTGAGCTTGTGGGCTCCAATTGGATTTTTTTCTCAATGGAGGACATGAGAAAGAAAAAGGCCTCAAAAGTATCAAGAACTGGGTCCCCAAACCCACTCACCTTCCTAGAAGCACCTCAGAAGCCCTCCCAATAAGTTCTGATAATAAAGCACTTCAGCACCCTGTGTCTTGATTTTGGGCCAGACACAAACACTCTGTCCTTTGTTTAGTAAGATGGGAAAGGCCGGGGCTCTGAAATCAGTTCTGGGTTCAAATTCTGACCAGCTGTGTGTGAGTTTTACCTTCTGAGGCTCAGGGGGTTTGTTGTTGGTTTGAGTTGGAGTCTCACTCTGTCGTCCAAGCTGGAGTGCAGTGGTGTGATCATGGTTCACCACGGCCTGGACCTCCTGGACTCAGGAGATCCTTCCACCTCAGCCTCCCTAGTAGCTGGGACTACAGATGTGCGCCACCACACCCAGCTTATTAAAAAAAAATTTTTTTTGGTAGAGATGAGGTCTCGCTGTGTTGCCTAGGCTGGTCTTGAACTCCTGGGTTCAAGTAATACTCCCAAATCACTGGATCTACTGGCACAAGCCATTGTGCTCGGCTGTCAGAGAGTTTTAATTGGGAAAATAGACCCCTCCCCCACCATCTCACAGGGTGGCCATGGAAGTTCCTTGAGATAATAAGAGGGCAGTGTCTACTCCAGAAAGTTTTTTTTTTGTTTTTGTTTTTTTTTTTGAGTTGGGGTCTCATTCTGTTGCCCAGACTGGAGTGCAGTGGCATGCTGCCAGCCATTGCAGCCTCAACCTGCTGGGCTCCGGCGATCCTTCCACCTCAGCCTTCCAAGTAGCTGGAACTATAGGTGCGCACTACCATGCCCGGCTAATTTTTG